CTAGGATGCAAAACTGTGTCAAAGGCCTTCCTAAGATCCAGGTAGATGACATCGGCCTCCACTCCTGTGTTAAGGCAATGTGTGACCTGGTCATAAAAGGCTAAGGTTTGTCAGGCAGGATCTACCTGTGATGAACCCGTGCTGGTTTCCTTTCAGCATCGTTTCCCCTGCTGGGCTTTCACAAATACACTCTTTGATGATTTTTTCTAGTATTTTCCCAGGGATAGAGGTAAGACTGACTGGCCTAAAGTTACCCGGCTCCTCCTTTCTCCCTTTCTTAAAAATCGGCACCACGCTGGCCTTTTTCCAGTCCTCAGGGACGTGTCCAGAGCACTATGAGAGCTCAAACAGCCATGCCAGTGGCTCAGCAATGACACTGGCCAATTCTTTCAGCACCCGTGGATGGAGGTCATCCAGGCCGGCTGACTTGTACCCATCCAGCCCTTCCATGTGCTCTTTAACTAAGTCAGAACTAACCTTTGGCAGGCTGGTGCCTTTTGGACATCTGTCAATGCTCAAGGTGGGGGGATTGTCTTGGTCAGTATTATGGAATACTGAAGTGAAGAACTCACTGAAGAGCTCAGCCTTTTTGTCTGCGTCAACCACCAACTGACCTGATTTGTCCTGCAGGGGCCCCATGCTACTCTGTGCCTTCTTTTTGCTCACTATGTATCTGTAGAAGGACTTTTTATTGTCCTTGATTGTTGTAGTCAGCCTAAGCTCCAGTTCTGCGTTGGCCTGCCTAACTGACTCCCTGCAGTAGTGTGCCAGGATGGTGTATGCCTCCGTGGTGGCTGTCCCCTGCTTCCACTGCCTATACAACTCTTTCTTTGCCCCCAATCTTTCCTGAAGCTCCCTGTTTAGCCAAGGGGGCTTTTTATCCCCTTTGCCCCTGTCCTGTATAAGGGGATTGACTCCTTTTGTGCCCCAAAGATCACTCCCTTGAGAAACTTCCAACCCTCTTGGACCCCCATTAGCCCGATGCTCTTGAGTTCGGCAACCTCACTAACTAGGTTCCTAAGTTTACTAAAGTTGGCCCTAAAGTTGGTCTAAAACTTCAGCATCACTGGATATTTTTCTCACCCTTCACTGGATAGTGACCTCTACCAAGTGGTGGTCACTATCACCCAGGTTACCGTGTACCCACAGGTTGATAGTACTTTTCCCTTCAATGTTTTACAGCAATGTCCTGACATTTGTTTTCCTACATCCTGACATATATATATACACTTTAGAAGCAAAGTCCCCTGTTTGAGTTCTATTATGTAGCCATTACAATTGAAATGTGTTTATAGATTACTATAGGAAATACTGAGGTAACTTGAAGTGAGATGCTATTCATATTCTGTTAACATTATTTTTTTATTGGATAAAGAGACTAAAGTTTATTTTCTCCCCCAACCTGAAAAAAGATAGGGACCTACATAACAGCAAAATTTTCTGAAGCTAATTCTAAAGAAGGGAGAGATACAATGCTGGTTCCTTGAAGAAATTAAAAGGCTATAGTAATAGTTATAAAATGAGTGTGCTCAGTACAGGTCCAGTGAATGTGCCTAGAAGGACTAATTCTCGTTTGCAACCGCCTTATGTGGTCTTGCAATCGCTGGCAGTCATAAGCCCTCAGGTCTTGCTTTTTTGCCACTAGCTGACTGGCCTGGAACTGCAGGACATGGTTTGCCTACTTTAAGTGGATTAGCTGTTTCTGAGAAGCTGTTAGTTCCCACTCAGAAGAGTCTGGGGGTTAGAGACTAGTCTGTGGGATCCATCTGGTGGGTACCAGCCCACTTGCACAAGTAGGCTGGTCCAGATAGTTTTCCCAGAAAACAGGAAGCCTTGTATAGGCAGGAAGATCCAGTCAGGTGCTCAGAGCTCTGGGCCAATCAGGGGCCAGAAGTGAGAAACCGTTTCTTGGTGGAGCCCCTCTCCTTGCTGCTCTGCCTTCCTCCATGAGCTGTGGCCTGGTAGAGGGCCAAACTGGTACTTGGGCCCTGAGCCTACCGGTTGGGTGTTTAGGCCCAGGCCCTCACAGTTTCTCAGACAAACAACTCACTATAGTTGTCTATACCTTATAACTCCAAACTTAGCATTTTATTTTATATGGAAGTACCATTGTAGATCCCAGAGAAACTTCATGGCAGTTGATTTGGTTGTTGGTGTTTCATGGGTGGAGTAAAGACCTGTTCCTATAGCCTGCTCAGGCCACTTATTTATTTCTAGTTGTAATGATATTGGTTTTGATCTGGTTTGGGTCCAGTCTGCCATACCATTTCTATAGGTACCGTTTCTGTTCTCATCCATCATCTTAGTACTTGACATCAGTTAAGGAACTCTTGCTAACAATTCTTAGCTTTCAGAGCAGAGGCAAGACATTCTTATATCAGAGAGATGAGAAATGTATGGAGTTAAGCTTATGTGCAAAAGTGGGGAATGTTAAGTGATGGACTCCTTTAAAAAATCCATCTCTAAACATAAATGGAGTTAAAATAAATACCATTTGTAATTTGTTATTCAGCTTAAGCTGTACCTGCTTGTTTCCTAGACCTGAGGAAGGGAACTTGTTGGGAGATATGGTAGATAAGCTCATACATTTGGTTCATACTGGCCATGTCTACATGAGATGCTGACTGAGCAGTAATGAACAAGTACTAAATGACTGTGCAGTAACTGGAGTAACTTTAGCGTTACTGGTGCACAGTAATGTCACCAAATGGCGTTTTTGTGACACTGACCGCACAGTATTCCAAGACTTCTGCACAGTAGTGTCACATCATGCTTTCTGCCACACAGTGCTACTGCGCAGTACAGGTTTCCTTCACTTTATGTGGTACATGCATTCCCAGAAAACTGAGCATAACTTGTATTCGCATAGAGGGAACCCACTCTACAATATAACTAATAAGGATACATTCCAAGGCCTTGACTGTACCCATGGCAGTGAGGGAGGGAGTGGGGTTGGGGCTGGGGCTGGGGCGCAGGACAGGGATGCAGCTCCTGCTGCTAGGCACACCCCGGAAAGGCATGAAGGGCGTGTGCCCCTGGATCTGCATGTGAGACAAGGGCGGGCTGCTGCTGCGGGTTGCCGCTGCGGGCAGCGCCGGGCTCTTCCCAGTGTGGGGCTGGGCTGGGCTTGGCTGAGTGGCCAAGGCCCCAGCAGTGAGGGTGGGAGTGGTGCACAGGTAGGAGCAGGGGCCAGGCTGAGTAGGCCTCCAGCTGGGCTGGGTAGTGGGACAAGCAGAGGCACAGAGGGCACGTGCCCCCCCCAATTTGTGCATGGAAGCGGAGGCAGCTGCCACTGAGCACTGCTCTTTGTTCCCTGCTGCAACTGCCCCAGAAATGGCTCTCAGGGCAGTGGAGTTCAAAGTGCAGCACATAGCAGCATGCCGCCTCCACCCTGTGCACAAATCGCTGGGGGGGGACATGCCCCCTGGGCCTCCGCTTGTCCTACCACCCGGCCTGGCCGGAGCCTCACTCACCCTGGCCCCTGCTCCTGCCTGTGCCCTGCTCCCTCTTCATCATTGGAGCCTTGTTCCCCCCCACCCCCTCAGGAGGTCATCTAGTCCAATACCTGTGTTCAAGACAGAGTCATTCTTGTCTAAACCATTCCAGACAAGTGTTTGTGTAACCTGTTTTTAAAAACTTAGAAGGATGAAAGTACTCTAATTTTTATATGCTATATTTTGTGCTATAATTCCAAATGCTATCATAATTAGTCTGATTATAAGCATGTTAATCTTGTTGTGAAGTAAATCAGAAGCAATTTCATATTTTTGTATTTAAAAGGTAAAGCAGAGAAGAATTCCTTTGAAAGAATGTTTTTATATCTGGTATATTTTAGAAGTGCTACCAGAGAATTGAAACAAAATCATATAAGTAAGCTTGAATGCATTAAAACTGCATTTATATTTTCAAGTGTGTATGTATCATGTTTATCATAGGTAATGGATGTGCTAAATCTTTTACCTTTGTACTGTGTGTTATAAAAATTGGATAAGGTAAAAATTCCAGCAGTACCTGAGAGATGTTTGAGAACTGTTGTGATTGATTTACACAAGCTTGTTTTAATTTATCAGTATGATAATAAAGCTGACACTGAGTTAGCCCAGAAATGCTAGAAACACAGTTATGATAGCATAAAAGCTGTGCAGCATATTGCTATTATTTTAATACACTTTTATTCAGTTTCAGTTAACTAGTAAAAATAAAGGGCAATCAAACATACACTATTTTTTTTTTACATTTCAATAGATATGTTGGAATCACAGTTTACAATCAAAAGTACAAATTACAAGAAAGGTTATTCATATTGATAAGAGAAGATTTTTCTTTGGCTATTCTGTAGTTTTTTTTCTTTAAGTTCAGTGGGGCTAGATTGTGCTACATTACATATTTCTCATCTCTGCACTTTATATTACTTTTTCAGCACATTAAAACTTATGCAGTGAAACTGAATAATGGCAAGTGTTTTTATACCCTTTTATAGCCATTTCTTTTTCATAACCTCCCCCTGTTTCCTGTTAGCTAAACTATAAGCACCTTTCTGTTAATTTATGAAAATTATTGTTGAGATAGCACATTATCACTGATCTGTATGGCACTTTCAGCATGTTAGAAGCAAAGGTCTCAGCAACATAAAACACATCAAAATTCATTAATGTGGTATTGATTATTTTTTGGATAATTAATTTTATTGCAGACCCTTGAAAGAGATAATGAGCTGCAAAGGGAGAAGGCAAAAGAAAATGAAGAAAAGTTCCTTAATCTTCAGAATGAGCATGAGGAAGCAGTAAGAACTTGGAAAAAAGATGTAGGTTTATTAAATTAAATGTTAGAGTATTAAGAGGTTTTTTAAATAGTCATCAAATAATCCCTAAAAGCCAAGAAAATATTGCAAAAATAAAGTAGGTAAAAAGTCAAATATCATTTATTTCCTGGCAATGCAAGATTTTCTAGAAATAAATATTTTTAAAATATAGATTTAATATAAACTCCATTTGGCTTCTGGACTTTAGAAGGCAAGCAATGTGTGCTTTTGGGCCTCTATCACACAAGCCAAATGGAAGGTTTATTTTGTTTGTTTTTAATACAGTATTTGGATAGTGTTCCAGAATTAATACATTTGTCAACCATTGCTGGCATTTTCCTAGATTATATTCCTGGACTGTAAAAATCATTAGTAAACTGCCAGAAATTAAACTATAAAACTCTAGTATAAGCTCATGTACATTAAAGTTACAAAAATGTAAGACATTTTGTCAAATATAATGGGCCCAAAACACTGACCTATCTTCAATATTTGTTTTTCATACTACTATTAAAAAATATTTCTGTGATTTGTAAAAAACAAATATTGTACTCAGCATCTTCAAGGTAAAATTACAGTGACAAATGAACTAGAATAATAAACCATTGTTCACAAGTAAGGAAAGGAAACATTTGGGTAAGAAAATTAACATTTTAAAGTTTTCAGAGAATAGTGGCAACCAGAGAAGCTGTCACAAAATTTTTTAATTTTCATTTCTAATTTGCTTTCCTGAAAGGCAATGGAAGTATGGCAGAGAAGGCTGTGAAGGGCTTGTGCAGAGCTGTCTGTATATTTCTGCCTTCTCTCTTGACTTGACTCTTTGAATACAAGTGCTGGAAAGAGTACTGTAACCTGAAGCTTTAGAGCAGCTCCGGTGATGCTCAGTGGTTTAAGGAGGGAAGATGACATCTCCCTAATTGTTCAAAATAACTCCAGTACAAAGCCCTTTACTCTTTACGTGTCAAAGCCGCTTTACGTGTCAAATATGAATTAGCTCTGTTTGTTTCTCTGAAATGTTTGTAATAATCTTCTAAATAATTGCAAATGATATTTCTTTATAACTTCATTCCCAGTTTGATCTATTTGGCAAATATTTATTCTTAACTTGTGTTTCTACTATAGCCAATCCAATTTGACTTTATTTCATTTAATTCCTTATAATATTCCAGTCTCATTGATAATGTTAAGATCATGTGCAGCTGGACATCTCCTGTGTACAGAGGTAGATTAACCTCTGATGCCCATTCAATATTATCCTCATTATCTTTCTTAAGATAGGCCAAAGCATGTTCATTTGAGCTTAGTTTATAAAATGACAAAAATATTCATCAAGTAATTTTTAATAGAAAGTGTTAGCAGAATACAAATTGAATGGACTGCCAAATAATACATTATACAAGGCAGATGATTTTGGTGGGATGGGGTTAGCTCCTAGAAGGGACAGGGATTGGGGGATGCAGTGTCACATAGATCTGTGGTTTCAGGTGCAATATTCTGGAGAACCTGCTATGTAATTTACATCTGATTCACCATATATGATGAAGGACCATGCTTTCATGGTCTTCCTTTCTTTAAGGGTGACATTAGCTACAAATTCCTTCAAGTGTCTACTGAAGATAGGTCCTCTCCTTTTTTTGTCCATTCTATCTGCTATTAGCCAAGATTATCTTTTCAGGCTGGAGGACAATGTATGTACAAGGAAAAATTATGTGTCCCTTCATTTACCCACTGTGATAGATTGTTTCTTTGTCTCCTGTGTCTGTACGGCTGGAATTTTTCTACTACTGTTAAGTGGTGACTTTTGTAACCTGTTCCTATAATAGATTGTTTAGAGCTGTAAAAAATATATCAGTTAACTGAGAATGACATCCAGGAGCACAGAGGAAGTTACTCTCAAGTCAGACAAAAATGGCAGGGAGGGGGTATCTTAGAGCTTGCTTACACATTCAAACCAAAGCTGGATAGAAACCAACTATAGAGTTGTTAGACATTTTGAAGCACTAATTTTGGAGCTGTTTGGCCGTTTTTATAGCTAGCTAGATATTTTTATGGCGTGATAATTTGCACATATGGCTGGTCTACATTTATTGTGCAATTAATCAGTTAATTGCATAATATACGTAATTTGGCAAAGGCCTTAGATACTAACTAGTTCAGAGAAGCATGAGCTTTCATAGGCAACAACCTACTTCAGATACAATCTCAAATGAAATGTATTGATGGGCTAAAATTGCTTCCATGGGCGGGGCAGGGGGGAAGGGGGGAAGTACACATAAGTTCTTTGCAGTACACTGCAAACTAATTCCTAGAGTAGATCCAGTTGGTGAAATGCTGTGAATTCTGGGATATACTTCCAGAACTCTTTCTGCCAAATGTGTAGCTGCAGAGTCAGTTCATGTACATGTATACAGTTTGATGCATATTGTTTCCTGAAGTGTGGACTTTTGGAGGCAGAATTTCCCGGTCAGCACCCACGCAAATGTGAGCTAGAATGCAGTGTAGATATACCCACAGCATACTTTCCTTTGATGGGAGCCATTATTTTATTCTCTTTCATATTTTATAAATTAAGAGATTAATTTTCAAATGGAATCTTTTCAGCAAGTGCTCAAACAAAAAGTCATTAGAGACATACAAATATTATTTTCTGGTTGTCAACCAGAAATTAAAAAAAAAAGAAAAGAGTCAGATAAATACAATCTGCAATGAGTGGGACCAGAAGAGTCCCACACATTTTCATGCAATGAGCTCTGTTTCTCTGTCTTCTTGTTTCCCTTTTCCTTCTGCTGTGTTCTCATGTTTCTCTGAAGATATAGTTCATATTTAAGACAGTTTATGCCAGTAATTGAGGAGTTTTATTTTTGCCTTCTTGTTTCTTCTCTTTGATTCTGTAGTTCGAAGATTTGTGCTATAAAAATATTATTTTTCAAGTTTCCAGATGCAACAAATGGTGTGATCAGTTCTTCTGTTCAACAATTGCAGGAGGAAAACATGACAAGGGAGGTACATACTATAAAAAATGAGTTGCTCTCACTTAAAGGAGCTTTCACACATCTCCAAGACTGCCATTCTCCTCAGACAGATCAACATGCTGGGCAAGGGGAAAACCTGCAGGTAAAAATGAAGTGTGTATGAATAGTTGCAAATTTTCATATTTCATCTGTCTGTCTAGTCTTTGGCATTTATTCTAAACCTTGTTATGACCTTCATGAAACTTCCATTCTGTAAAGCCAAGGTCTTCAACATAGTGATCCAATAAAATTCTAAAATCTACCTACAGTAGATTTCTCCTTTCTGAGCCTAGAAAATCTTGAGATTTGGCTATTCATTCCCTCACTAAGTTTAGATAAGATTATAAGCTTGGCAATTAGTTGTGTTAGATAGAATTTGTTAAAGACAGAATTTACTTCTGTGAAACATTCACCTGTACAAAGGCTTGGTGGAACTGTAGAAGCAGATCCTTTACAGAGAAACTAATTTCAGTCTCTGTAATGTAGGATGACAGAAAAATTTGGTATCATCTGCATTAAAATAACTGAAGCCCAATATTCAGTCTAAACAATCTTTTATCCAATGTCTTAAATAAATCATCAAAGGCTTAAAATTCTGAATGTGTTAATAAATGACTGCAGAAAATAGAAGAATAACAACAAGAGTAGAACAGAAACTTGTCCAGATTCTATCTTTCCACTATTTCAGGTTAGTAAAAATGGGGTGAAAAACTCCCATTTGCTTATGGTAAGTGCGCTCAACCTCCAGACTGGGTCAGATCCAGCCCGCGAGCCTCTGGGTCTCCCCACAGGTCTGAAAATACGGTAGTTGGCGGGGGGAGTAAGGTAATTGGATTGTTAATTGTAGCTCCCCTGATGCCAAATTCTAGACCCGTGGGGAGCCCTGTATGCTGGATGATGTGGCCCTGTGCACTAGATTGCACAAGCATGCAGTGGGGCCAGCACATGGGGTCAGGCTGGCACATGGCTGAATCTAGCACCTGGGTCAAGCCAGCACACAGCTGGATCCAGCAAACAGAGCTGAACTGGTGAGTAGCCATATCTAATGGGTGAAATCAGGCCATGCATGGTATCAGGCCAGCATGTATGCCTGGGCCATCATGCTAGATCACACATGTGGACCAACCCTACACACCTACCCCACATGCTGGATCTGTCCTGTGAACTGGTCCTACACCAGTCATCTGGCCTGCAGGGCCAAAAGGTTGAGCATCACTGGCTTAGGAGAATCCATAGATGGCATAAGTTCAGCTTTATGGCACCTGCTCCATGACCTTCTGCCATAGAAGAAAAGAGGTAGGTGATCCTTAAAGGTTCTAACTAAATGGGGCTTAAACTAAGCCCAGCCCTCCTCCAGTCAGATGACTCCTCCACTCAGCCCTAGCACACTTGCAGGCACCCTGGGTCAGCTGACTCCACACTTAGCCTTGGCCTGCACCTGCAGGATGCTGTGCAGGCTGCTTCAGCTCTTGAAGTGGCAGGTGTCCTAAGCATCCTGTCACACCTAACTGATTTAAACTTGAGAGAGGCAATGTTTTTCAGTGTATTACATGGGGATAGTGTTGCACGAGTTCCATTAATGTTTATAAGAGTCCTGTGGCTCCAAAAATTATTGTTTATTTGAGTGAAATAAAGATGTTTCAATTGTACAGTTAGGGCATATTATTAATCATCCACTAAAACCTGTATTATGATAATATATATTAATATGTCTCTATGTTTTATGTAAGAGCTCTTTGAAAGTATAGTTGTTTAAAGTATATGTTTATAAATGCCAAAATTCTTGGAATTTTTTCTAAATAGATATAGCAGTGGGGGTGGGGGGTAATTTTTGCCAAGTGTGCCACCAATTAGTTCTGCACAGTCATCAAGTGTCACTCCAATCCCCACCCTCTGTCTGATTTGCTGCTCTGGCTTATGTTTCCTTCCCTGTGCTTCCTGCCCAATTTGCTACTTTGCTTTCTGCTTCCTGCTGTATCTGCCACTGTGCTGCCTGACCCCTTACCAATCTGCTACATGCCACACACAGAAGCTGCCTGCACCAGCTTGTGGCATCAGTGCCACATGTTGGCCTTGTCTTACAGTATCTGATGGCCTACTGCCATAAAAGTTTAAGCTGTAAGATAATCAGATAGCAAAAATTAAGGAAAATTAGTCAAATCTTCAGTGGTTGAATGCCAAGGAAGTCACAGGAGCTAGTCACAAACATTGGTGATTCAATAAGTGGCTTTCTTATCTGTGCCAGTGGCCTATGTAATATGAGAAATCATTTTGTAGATGCCTTAAAATTACTTTAAAAGATGTAATATTGAAGATTTTGACTAAGGCCCCACTCCTCCAAAGACATCTGCACATGCTTAACTTTACACCCTGTATATAGTCCAGTTGAACTCCCTGAATTTCTCAGAGGACATAAAGTTAAGCATATGCATAAACTATTGCATGACTGGAGTCCAGCTGTAGCCATTAAATAATTAAAAGCTGTTTCCTTAAAGTAACATTGTCAGATTTGGTGTTCTGGACAAATTTTAAATTTGAGTAATTACATGTTATTTATCTTGACTTCCTCCCTATTTTAATGGTATGTTTCTCCTCTGGTTTACTCTGTTTTGTGTGTAGCTATGCATGTTAAATAACTGCCACATATCACCTTATGAATGGTTACAGATCACTGTGATCCCTGCATATACGTACTGGATGTATCTACATGTGCAGTTAATGTGAAGCAATCAACTCTGGAGCAGTTGGAGCCAGAGTAAACTACTCCCAGGCACATAGTCTACACATGCACCCAGGACAGCAGCAATTTGAGCCACGGCAGAGCAGTTTATGCCAGGGCTAGGCTGGCAGGGAGTATGGGGGGTCAGTGACATTAGGCAGTGGAGGGGCTGGCTGGGGCATGAGGGTGCCAAAAGTGGCTAGGTGGAAGGAAGGAGTGTGGCTAGGTGGCAGACAGGAGTCTGGCCCTCTGCTACCTGGACTAACCAGGTTCAATTTATACCTCTGGTCAGCATCTACACTTGTGTTTAACTGCAGTTAATTACTCCACTGTAAAGTAGTACTGTCCCTAACAGTACTATCTGACAATAGCATAAATTAATTTGCCGTGGCGTGATAGTGTAGCAGGTATAGATGGTGATACTTTACTCCACTACTAATGTAATTTTTAAGAGGGCAGTATACGATTTGGATTTGGCCCAATTAGGGGGACAGTGATTTGATTAGTTGATTCGGATCACTGTCCCAATTGGATTTGGCTGAATCTGAAGATTTGATCCTGATTCGGAGAATCAGCAATTTGGCTATAGACACAGCTTTCTATGTTTTTTCTATGTACCTCAAGGTACCAGGCGTGGCTCATGAACGCTGAGATGGTGGGACAGATGGAGTGGATAGAGTACTTCCAATCCACTTCCGGGTCCGCCACTGAACATGAGGGGGATCCTCCCCGCGCCTCCCTGATTCAGCAATTGGTCACAGGGGGAACCCAGGTCCCCCCCGCCCCAGACCCAGGAGGCACCAGTCACCGAGCTGGGGGGGGTGGTCCCCTACACACTCTGCAATGGACCCAGAAGGGGACCAGAACTACTTCTGGTCCCCTTCTGGGTCCACCACCAAGCATGCAGGGGACCTCCCCTGCGCTCCCATGGGATGCTCCATCTGCCCCACCATTGCAGCATTCACAAGCCACGCCTGGTATTTCAAGGTACACAGAAAAAACATAAAGCTGTGTCTATGGCCGAATCATCGAATGTCTCTTGATTCAGTTCTGATTTGGAGATTCGGCCACTGAATCGGGCCAAATCTCCTCCGAATCAAATCAGTGATCGAAGCTTTGCACAGCCCTACTAATTAGTCTATTTGCAGTTAAGTACATGTGTAGATGTACCTACTGTGTGTATATTAGCTGCAGATTGTTGTGAACCCTGTGTATGCATAATGATGTTGGAAAAGGTTTTGAATTTCTTTGGTCTGAAATACAAGCAGAGGTCACTATGGATGCATATGTGTTGTCTGGTTATATTTTTGTGATGAGTTATAGGCCAGTTTTTTAAATGACTGCCAGATTTGGAAGTGTCAATTTTTGATCACTTAAGTTTACGTATTTGGAGTCTTATCTTTAGAGGAACTGACTATTCATTTGAAATTACTGAGAGAGGTAGCCTCGCTGAGTACCTTTAAAAAATAGGTCTGAGATTAGGTCCCTCAAGACTGGAAGCCACACTTGAAAATTTGTGCTCCTGTATCTTATGAAGTACTTCAATGAATTAAGTAGGGAAAGAAATTCAAAACCTTTTCCAACATCAGTATGCACAGGAGAGCCCTCACGTTGGGGAAAGCAGAATCACAGGACTGAGCAACCCCTTTTTGCATCCCCTGTCCATACCCTGAAGCAGTCTAAATTTCAAGTCCCCCTAACTGAAGTGGAATTTGAAACGCTTCAAATGTACAAATGCCCAAGTCCTTTCCCACCAAGCCTATGCCAACTTGCTATAGTAATATTCCCTGTACAAACTCATTTCACAGACCCAGCCCAATGGACTGAAGCAGTAGGAGGGAGTAATGTGAATGTGTTACTGTCTTGCACAGTTTGTATGTAAACCATAGGAGATTTGGGGCACATCCAGATGAGTGCAGACATTTGTTTCTCCATGGACAAGTAGCAGTGGCACAGTCCTACTTGTCCCTGAGGAATGCCCATGCCATGTGCACTTTGGCACATGGCAGGTTACCCTGGGTGGGGTAGGGGAGGCTAAGGCCAGCAACTGTGCTGGCTTCAGGTCCTGGAGGTCTCAGGGAGCTACACTGCTAGCAGAAAACTTGACTAGCAGCCAGAGTGTGGCTGTGGCTGGCTGGGCTCCAGTTTTGGGTGGCATATGCTGCAGCCATGTGTGCTGCCCTTTTTGGTATGGGTGTTTTTGACCTCAGGGTCTCCTGGGGTCAACCCTCCCTCCCCCCACTGCAAAGTAGCAGTGTGGGGAATGCCTGCATGTGTGGTATGTGGCATTGCAGATGGGTCTGAGGTGCCACATACCGCACGTCTGCAGTTGTCTGGATGTGCCCTTGGTGTTTTTATTTAAAGTCTCAGTTGCTGAAATATCAGCTGTCATAAATAAGTAAATTTCTAGCCTTTCTGGTTCCAGAGAAAAGCTTGAAAATATGAAGTATATCCTAAACTTTCAGAGCCAGAGGGCAAATGCAAATAACACAAATGTACATTTTAAAAAAGTTTATGCTTTTAAGTCATTCTTGTGTATTTTGAATGCTTGAGGTTGGTAATACAGAGAAAGGGAGGAACAGAAGCAACAAACTGGGAGAAGAGAGGGCGGGACATAAGACAATATGATGAAAAATGAGAAGAGACTTCAGAGAAGGAGAAACAAGCAGCAGATCCCAAGAGAAAAAAAAATCAACAGAGTTGGGTTGAATGGACATAGGGTGATGTTGCTCTAGCCTGTAGGAAAAAAATGTAAACAGAAATGCCTGTCAATATTTCAGAGACAAAAAGAGGCAAAAAATGTTTTTGTGAAGGGAACAAATACTAGATGTCTACGTATGGAGGGGTATATCTTTGAGTTTATGTGCATAATATCATTTATTTCTTCTCTTCATTCTGCACTTGTTATTCTCTTCTTTCTCAGCTGTCGCTAATTATTGAGCAGGTCATAAAGACTGCATGATGAAACCTAACTTTCTATGAATTACCAAATCAGTAAATCTAATTCACATCCTTTTTCCTTTAAAAATCTGTTAGATTTTATTTCAGGTGAAGTTGCCCCTTTGGAATACCTAATAATTTAATGACTTTTTCTGCTGCATCCGGCTTGTAAATCTGCTTTTTTCTCACTTACACACTATAATTTTATAATTCCAAGGAATGATTACTGTTCTACATCAGAACAGCAAAAAATGATTCAAGACTTCTACGTTAAATGTATGTTAAACTTCAATAGGAAACCCATATACATTATCTCCTACTAATATGTTAAAAATTGTTTCTTTTTATGACAGAATGGTGAAGCACATTCTGAGGTCATCAGAATACAGACTAGTCAGAGAGAAGATGAATATTATGCAAGCTACATTAAAAACGATAGCATTTATGAACAAAAAGAAAATGGAGTAAAAAAGATTGTAGGCCTTTCTTCTGACATTGATAAAGTACAGGCAAAACAAAATAATGATAGCACTGAAGAGGAAAATAAAATAATTGCTGAAGGTATAAATACTTATAAAGACAGTGTATGACAAGAGCATGATTCAGTGCCCTAAATCAGTGTTCTTGTACAGATCATTTTGAAATGCTTGGTGTCTGTAGGTGCTAGTTTGTGTAAAGTAAACAAAATTTAGTAGAAGCCCAATCTCTTACACAGCTGCTTGGCACACCAGTGGTATTTGCATCTTGCATCATCCTTTAAGCTGGTATAGCATGTTGTTCTCTGCATACCATCGTGAGGCACATGGTTGTATTTTGAGAAACTCTGATTGTCCCCAGCTCTTGTAAAGGAGCATTGTCAGGCAAAGATTCCCCTTCTCGCTGTATGCTCATGCACAAGCCAGGAATACTGCAGCTCTGTATGCAGTCACAGCATCCCCATTTTATAGGTCCCTGTAACAATATTTTCTTATTTTGAACCTGGCATGAAAACATCAGCCTTCAAAATTAGAAAGTCAGATTGTTATGATCTTCATAGGTACTTGCTGAATCATCTCTCTTGTGGTCTAATAGAAATAACATTGGAAGATACTTCCAATTAATACTTTCTCCGATTACTATCATGCCTTAGCTTTTCTGTGTTGTTCAGTCGTGACAAATCAATGGCATATTTGTTTGATATGACCACAATCCCTAGATTAGGCAGATGAATTTTATTTAATGTAGGGAGTTTTAGGTTAAAAGGATGAATAGACACAATTGTGCTAGTAAACCAATCATGTTATTATATATGCAGAGTGAAAACATAAAATTAAATATATGAATATATGTTATAAATTAATTTAATTAAAGCTTTTTTTCAATTATGCTGAGAAATATTCAGTTGGACAGGACTTAAAGTGAACCTGTACAGTTAACATGAACATAGGACAGTGAGGAACCTCCTAGGTCCTCAAGGCAGTGCCCTGCTTTTGCAGGTGTGTCATCATGTTAACCCTTTCGTAAACTTAGAGGTATTTGTCTTAAAAGTAGATAGTCTTTTGTACCCCTGGTACTCCAACTGGGAAAACTGTTCCAGAACTTCTCTTCTTTGATGGTAAGCTTCTTCTAGTTTCCTGCCTAAATTTATTTATAACTATCTATTTTTTTTAAAACTGGAAAACAATGTTAGCATACTGTTCTCAGTTTAAAAAGCATAACATTTGGTAAATTGTCCTAATACAAAATTGACCCCTCAGAACTTTCTGATAGAGAAAATTACAACTCTATTTCACATGAGAAAAATAAAAAACTAAAATGCAACTATGTCCTATATATGCAACTATGTATGGATTGCATTTTGCCTATTACTTTAAAAATAATGCATTATGTAGCCATTAGCTTTTTGTCTAATTATAGCACACTCTCATATTTTTAGATTTACAAGTTCTTGAAAACTGTTGTATGATTGAAGATAAGGCTATTAGCCCTTGTGAAAAAAAACAAAGAGAGGTTTCTCCAAGCAAAACCTTTTGCACAGATGTTAATTTAAGTAATCAAGGATACACCTGGGAAGTATGTGTTGCTGGGTGCAAAGAGGTTGCGAAAGAAAAAATGTACTTGGAGAAAAGCATTGTAAATGCAAAAGTAAAGGCCCAGGACAGCCCCTGCTCACCTACAAAGCTCCCAGCTGAAATAAGAAAAATGCTCCTAGACAATACTGAAGCATCAGGTGTCTTCAGTGAGGATGCAGGTCAGCAGACAGGCTCCAGCAAGCATACAGCTGGCAGTACTACAAATGAATTAGTTTGTAACACAAATGATAAGGCAGACATCACACCCACACAGTATGAAAAAGATGTCTTTATAAAGGATATACTTAACAAAGAGTGCAGCTTTGCTCTAGGCACTGCAAAAGAGTCTGCAACTGAGAGTACCACAAGCACTCCACAAGCTAAAACAGAATTTAATTTTGCCATCCTGTCTCAGGCTACAGAAAATAATCGGACAACATTTCTGAAATGTCGTTTACAGGACAATGGCAAGTATTTAGATGACAAACAATGCAAAACAGAACAGATACAACTGTTATATCGAAGCACCAGTGGCATTTCCTCAGATACACCTTCATTTAAACAGATTCCTAAAGATGTTCAAGAGAGATGCAATGATGAAAATGCAAGCAAAACCAATGGAAACTGTATATTAAACAGTACTTTTAATACAATAATTGATGCTCCAGTTCAACCTACCTTTTTTTTTGATAATGCAAGTGCAGATTCTTGCAATGCAAACGAAAAGAATACTAATAATATATCTGTGATAGAGAATGTAAATGTAGGTACTGAAAAACCAGATACATTGACAAAACTGAATGATATACAAAGTGACCAACCTGAGCAAGACACTACTGAACAAACAGGAAGTGCTATAAATAAACATGTTTGTACGGATGTGATTTTGCCTTTAAACACTGAGAAAAATTGGTCAGCCCAGAGTGATGATTTTGAAATTGTACATAAACAAAATTTCACAAACAAAATTACCACAGGTAAACACATTTCCTGTGAAAAAGATCAATTAAATGATACCCAGATATCAAACATTAAAGGAAGACAGTCATCTATGATTAATGATAATAATGCTGTGAAGAATACATTGTTAAAAGAGGAAAAAGTGTCACTAAATAATACAGTTGCAGGAGCGAAATTTGCTGAAGGTCACCTGGAAGAATCATGTTCTTTACCCATAAGGACATCTGGAGATTTAGTAAACAGAAGTGGAAGGTCATCCTTTGATCTTTCAACTTCAGATAAAAAAACTGAGAAAACTCCAGTAGACTTAAAGTTTTTAGATCTCGGTCCTTGGTCAAAAGTAAATCATGTTGAAAGTCAAACAATGGGGGCTTCAACTTCCAAAGCGCCTTTTCTTTTGAAAGAGAAACTATTATGTCTATCAGAAAACAAAGAGATACTTTCTCCAAAACTGTGTCATAATCTGAGTGGAAATGCTGTAACGAAAGAAACAGGACTAGGTAAGAGCAATAATTATTTCCATTGTGTTTCTTTGATAATTTAAACTGTATAGAAAAAATGTGGAACAGTACTTAAATATGGAATTTCTGTTTAATTAATATTAAATAATATTAGAGAAAAAAACTTAAGCTTTTTGATATTTAATTTTCTCTACTAACATGACATTCTCTTATGTGGACAGATCTAAATAATCTCTATATGTTTATCCATTTATTTGAACAAATAAATTCATCTCTTCTTTTCCCTTATAGAACAGGAGTAATTCTATGACAACTAATTTAATTTTTATAGATGTGTTCATAGTAAACATCAGCCTTATTGCTCAGAGATGAAGGCATTAGAGTGAAGACCTAGTATGGATACCTGCATTGGCAATGCATCAGAAGAGAGCATGGGTGGCACATGCCAACCCAGATTTCTGTGCTGATGGTGGGGTATGGGGCTGCAGCCCAGCCAGAAAAAAAAGGCCCAGCAGTGGCATGGCCAGCAGCAGCAGTGCAATTTCTGCACTGGCCACAGGGTGCAGGGCTGCAATCTGGTCAGAGTCAGCACCTGGCGGCAGCAGGGGTGACAGTGGTGTAGAGTTATAACCCACTGCCCACGCTGTCAACATTTATGCATCATCAGTGAATACCTGTATCCTTGGTAAGTGATCCTGATGCTGGGTAGAGTCATAAATCAACTGTTATTGTTTTTTTTTCCACAAGAGTTGAGGGTATCACACTCTTTCCAAGTACCCAATGCATGCTTAATGCCAGTTGTGGATCAATTAGTGCCTTTTAGAACTGAGTCCAACTAGTTCAGTTATTTTACTATATGTCATTAATTATGCCCCCAATATCAGCTGAACATGGCAAAAATGAAAAAGGAGAAAAATGTATTCTTTGAAGCTTTGGAAAAGGAAAATAAAGCTTAAAATAAAGGCTTTTTTCAATTGCTACTTTCACAGTTGGTGATTATTCCCTAGCAATATTATGTATGCACAAATTCCAGGAAGAGTAAACAGTTTTTAAAAATCTCTCCTAATAAAACATGAAAAGTAGTAAAGCAGATATCATAGATTTAATTTATTTTGAAATAAACTTATGTAGTACATTTTGATTACTTTATTGGGAAATGCAGTGTAGAAACTCAAAATAATCTTTATCAAGATAAGAAAGAGGTTTTTTGTTTCCACATTATGATTACTTTAATATATTTGATGAAAAAATAATGATTTCATAATAACCAAAATTGTGTTGGTTGCTCCAGAAAAGAAATGAGGACCTAAGATAATCTTTTTAAAATGCAGCTTAATTATCTAGATGCCTGAGACCCATTGACTTTTACCATAAAATATTTTGGTGCTTTTGAAATGCTACCCTTAATAACTATCACAAAAAGTTTACAATCATAAAAAAGAGAGGGGGGGAGAAAGAGAGAGAGAGAGGGAGAAAGAGACATGGATAGGATGTGACATGCTTGAGCAATGGTAACTGTAAGGCAATAGAAGCAAGAATAACCTAGAGTTACAGAAATAAGGTAATGCGATTACATAGACTTGTTACACATAAGTTGTCACGTGTTCCTTATATGCATTCCTCTGCACACCCATGCACACATGCGTATAATTTTGGATTCTGTTCATTGATCTGTACCAATATTTCAATGTTTGAGTAATAGAAAGTGAATTCAGAAATGTTTAATTAGTCCTATGTGGCCCTTGCACAGAAGAATGAATGGAAGAGGGCTAAAGAGGAGGCCTACAAGGAGAACTGGTGGATCATTCCATGACTCTTGTGTGTCATGCTTTGTTCATGGAATAAGCCATAGGTTTATGGCTTAATCTGAGTTAGTCTGATATTTCTCTTCTTATAGGAGTATAGGATTTAGTACATAGGATCAGTTGCCTAGAAGTTAGGTACTTCAATGCCTAGGTTTTACACATCTGTCCCAAGAGTAGAATCTGGAATCCTAAGGGAGGCATCTGGACCCACTTTACAAAATATGGCTGTTTGGGCTAAAAACAGATGGATTTCTTGAGGACAAAGCCTTTTATTTTGGAATCCTACAGATTTACACATTCATTATCTCAGCCTAAGTACCTGTGATATACTGAGATGACACTTTTCCCCTGGGACAATATGGTCTAATATGAAGTAGGTGCCATTCAAGTGGAATGTGTAAACAACCTTCCTACACCTGTTTTGATGCATGTCAAAGCCTGGGACAATCAGCCCGGGGAAAAATCCAGTACATATTTTTAGCTGGCCAGACTAACTGGTTCAGAGACATATGACCTTTTTTATACAACTATCAATTTTGTCAAATGCTAAAACAAAAGCTCATACCCCTCTGAAGATAAAAACAAATGACTGGTTTACCCTGGAAAAAATAATTTTATTGAGGGATCCTAAACCCTGTTTGTTCTATCTTATGTACCTGTCAAAGGATCATGGGTGTCTGTAGATGTGCAGGACATCTGCTCTGATGCGCTGTAATTACAGTGTGTTGGAGTAGACTTGATTAATCGAGTCTGCTGGAGAGTGCTAATTAGCTCTTGGGAGCTGCTCATATAAAGTGCCCACAGCATCACATGTATTCAGTGTCCCCATGCTTCAAAATGGCAGCGGGAGTGCTTTAACTAAAGCTTATTGAACGAGCTTCAGTTAAAATGCAGCTGCCGCCATTTTGGAGTGTGAGATGCTGAATACACCCACCCATGTGACTGTGCATTCGTCAGTGCCGCAGTCCCTCAGCTTGCCCACCAGAATTGGGTGGGACACTGTGTCGAAGGTCTTCTGGAAGTCCAAGAAGATGACATCGACTTCCTCCTTCCCATCTAAGCTCTTTGTTAC